TAGAAAGATAATACTTTAACATTGAATTATTTCAAAGTTAAGGTATTTAAGTATCCCGAAAATAGTTAGTAACACGCGTCGTCTAACTTAAGAAAATGCAATAACGTTTCTATTTAATTCATTTGAATGAATTACCTCGTAAAATCGAGAACACGTGGTTTTATTACTTTACGACCGATTAAATATAATACTCTCTTGCAACGATAATTATTTGATTAGTTGAAAACTATTCGGTAATAAATATTTATCGAATTATTAATATTTATTAATCGTTAATTTTTATCCTTCCTTCCATTATCAATAAAAGAATCATATTTTAAAAAAAAAAACCCCGGAAAAAAATGGAGGAGAAAAAAAAGAAGGAAAACAAAAACAAAACAAAAAGTACCCAGAATTAGGGAGGGGGGGGGGAAAGCACGGGTTCGTTCGATCGATTTTTGATACCACTTACACGTAGAACAGGTCGGCCCCTTTTCTAGTTTTTAAGAGACGTTAAAATAGTCAAATCGTTAACGCGTCCTATGAAAGCCGGATTTGAAAGTTTCTCACTGAGTCTGTGTGTCCGGCACTTTGCGACAATCGGCTTTCTATGTTTCCGTATTTTTCTAACACATGCACGCACACACACACACGTAGTTTGCATGTTTTTAGAGCATTGCGATTCCAATACTTAAGCCTTCTCTATCTTCCCCTTCCCCCACCCCTCTCTCTCTCTCTCTCTCTCTCTCTCTCTCTCTTTTACTTTTCGTCATATGGAACGAGGAACGAACTCTAAATCGGTAGCAGCTACTTTTCGAATCGTAGCTAGGAGAAAATGGTACACTGTGTTGAATATACTCTACAGATTCCGCCATTTTGTTTGGAACTTCGTGAGGCTGCTAGAAAATCGGAAGTAGTCAGAGTCAAGAGAGATACCAGAGGATCCTCTTTCGATCGTTTACTTCCTTTCTCTCTCTCTTTCTCTTTCTCTCTCTATTATCCAACGACTCTTTTTCCGTTCTCTTCGAAAGCGGTGGGAACGCGTCAGGTGTTCAGACTATAATCCCTCAGACATCGGATGGTACCGATGGGGATAGCCCATGGCTCGTTGCAGCCAAGCCAATGGCGCAGGAACATCCCCCCCTAAACTCTACTACCTTTATCTCTTTTTCTCACACACTTATTTCCACCCCCCATCCTTTCTCTCTCTCTCTCTCTCACGATCACTTTTTTGACCCCCTCCCTTCGATTTCTCCAACTACGTACATTTGTATTTTTCACAAATATTTCGTACGTTCTCATTCAAAACGTCGTCGTATCTATTGTTTCTTTTTTTTTTGTTTATTCTCCAAGAAGAAACAACAACACGTTGTTTCATTCACGTTGAATCCTAACTTTCTCAGTTAAGCTGCGAAATGACACGAACACTTAAGTTGTGAGCGCACGCGTTTAGAAGACAGAATTCGTTTCAATTTGTTTTCATTTTCTTTTTCTTTTTCTTTTTCTATTTTTTATTTCGTCCATTTTATTCCTTGCTAACACACGTTTAAATCGCCGAAAGTTTTAATGGCACTTCTCTCGCGCGTTCGTGCACGAGATAGAAAAAGAAAAAAAAAAGTCATTCGCGCATACTCTACACGCGTATGCATGCCATGCATGCATGTATGTATGTATGTATGTATATATGTATGTATCTACGTGCATGGGCCGAGACGAATGTTTCGCTGACGCTTGAAACGACGATGTAAGCGGGACGAGAAAAGAAGTTTAACGAGGTACAAGAGCAGGACCAACGCGCCGGGAATATTAGCAAAGTTTTTAAGAAAATGCTCTGAGTAACGTCTCTTCGATATAGGATATGTACGGAAAAAGAGAAAGAAAAGAAAAAAAAAGTACAAAAAATAAAGAAAGAGAGAGAGAGAGAGGTAGAAGGAAAGATAGACGAAAATGAAAATAGTAACGGACGTGCATATAGGACAGGAAACAACCAACAACATAGAGAAAGAGTAGGAAGAAAAAAAAGATAAGACATGAAAGTAGTAAGAGACGTGCAACGACAGACAGTTTAACAAGTAGTAACAGAAAGAAAAAGTAAGACAGAGAAAGGGTGGACAGACGTGTTAAAGTAGTAACAGTCGACGCTCAACGACGACAGACGCGGTAAAAAGAAAAAGAGGAAAAACAAAAAGTAGTGCGAGAAAAAGAGACGTACGGGTTAAGTAGTAATAAACGTGGAATGACGGACAAATAGCAAGTAGTAACGGATAATGTGAGAGTAAAGATAGATAGACAGACGTACAAGTAGTTACGGACGGACAATGTCAAACAGGAAACAATCGATAACGAATAGAAAAAAAATATATAAATTAGAATAATATATTTTAAAATAATAACGAAAACAATAGTAGTGCAACAAGGACAGATGCAGAAAAAGAGACGACTGTAATTGCGTAAGTAAATAACGGGTATAGCAAGTAGTAAAAGAAAAAGAGAGAAAGAGAAAGAGAAAGTTAAGTCAGACGGATTATACATTACAAATAGTCACGGGACCAATTGCAACGTCAAACAGGAAACAATCAGTAACAGATAGAGAATAGAGTGAGAGAAAGATAAACGGATATTATGCGAGTAGTAGTAGGTAAACGGGCATGCAACGACGACAGATGAATAACAAGTAGTAAGTGCCAGGTGACAACAGACAGGCAGATAGCCAAGTAAAACTAGACGTACAAAGACAGATTGGTGACGGAGGAGAAGAAGAAGAAACGGATAGAGGTAAGCAAGCAAGCACCACCAGACTATAGGACAAATAAAGACGGACCGACGGAACAGTAGAGAAAGGAAAAAAGAAGAAGAAGAGAAAAAAAGACAGATAAAGAGCAAGTGCAAGAGCCCGTCTTTCTCGTCAAAGGCTTCAACTTATACCTCCCTCTTCACCCCTCACTACTACCTCACGCTCTACTTTTCTCTCTCTCTCTCTCTCTCTCTCTCTCTCTCTCTCTCTCTTTCTCTCTCAGTTACTATCTCTAGCTTTTATACCCATTCCTCCCATTCTCTATGTTTTTCTGGGTGAACGCGACGAGTCGCGTGCCGTTTGCTCTTAAAGGCACTCTCGTGCTTTCGAACGTCCCATCGTTAAGCGGCTCATAGAAACCCAAACGCTAGATCTACATCGTCGTAGTTCTTATGCGAAACGTTTGTGTAGGACAACATCAAACGATCGTACAATCCTCCCGCTTCAACCCTTTCTCTTTCTCTTTCTCTTTCTCTTCCACCCCGCCCCCCTCCCGTTTCCTTCAATGAAAAAAAGAAAGAAAGAAATATGTGGAGTTCGAAGAAAAGGCAACGAACGTTTACGAGCGTAAAGCATAAATTCGCTTCAAGTATTCGTTCGGTTTTTTAAAGGTCTCAATTTGCATTTGTTAATCGGCCTTAAGTCGCAATGCTTATCATGTTTTATTAAAAAAAGAAAAAAAGAAAAAAAGAAAAATATCTGCGAATATTAAAAGTTAATTTCTCGATCTTACTACCCGTTTCGTCTCGTGCTTGACCCCCTTTTTTCATTTTTTTTTCTTTTTTTTTTTATATATATTTTATTTCCCTTCCGTTTTTCACCGCGACGACGACTATATAACACGTTTTAACTTTGTTCGTCGCTAAAAAGTAGTATAACACCTTTCGAGAAGGAACGTTTTATATATATATAAAAAAGAAAATATAAAAAAGAACAAAAAATAGCGCTACCCGTGAAGAAACAAAAAATAAATCGAAACGTTTTATTCGAGTTTGCGTAGAATAACGTTCGTTACCATCGTTTCTCCTATGAAAAATAACAAGAGAAAGAAAGAGAGAGAGAGAGAGAGAGAGAGAGAGAGAGAGAGAAAAAGAAATAAACACAAAAATATATCTATACCGACAAATATTCCATCTGTTTATGTAAATGAATTTCACTGTCGACGTAACACAACACGCAAGTCCAAGCTCAAAAGTCTTTGGATTCGTGTTTGCATGTTTGTCTGGCACATTAAAAATATTTCAAAAGAACCACCTACCTCCCCTTTCCCCTTTTCCCCCTCCTCTCTTTCCTTAGGTAGAATTATAGTTCCGTTCTAATGAAAGAGATTTTCGGTACGTTCTTTAATACACCACCCCCTCCTCGTAGTTCATTACGTCTATGAGAAAGTTTAATGGAAAAATGACTTGCGAACAATGATGACAAATGTAAAAGCAAATTGAAACATGAATGAAGATCTAACTGAAAGACAACTAATAAGTACAAGCGATTGGATAATAAGCCAACAACGGCAAGCGTTCGTTGCCGCCTGCGGTCCTCCGGGCCATTTGCCATTTGCCACTTATTCCAACTTCGCAAATAACTACGAATAGTATAACAACAAATGCAGTGCCCAACCGTTCGTATAATTACTGTTGTTTACCTTCGAAAATTCTAACTAATGTACATTTCTATTCTATCTAAAAAAAACAAGGGGTAAGGGGAAGAAAATTCTAGAATACAACGACAATTGCAGAAAAAAATAAACAAAAATCTAAATACGATTTGGACTCTTCGTAATTCTCATCCGTAAATTTTCCGTATCGAAGTGAAACGAAAACTCGCGTTCTCTCTCTCTCTCTCTCTCTCTCACTTCTCCTCTTCTCTTTCTTTTAGATTTTTTTTTTCTTTCCTTTTTTTTTTTTTGCACACAAACGTCCAGACAAATCACACGCGAGATTGCGAAACGTCGATAACGGTACCTGTGGAAATTGTACTGTGGAAATTGTTCAACTTGCAATTATAATACGTGCATACTACATGCGAAATGAATAAATAATGTTGATGATGCATATTTTGCATCGATCAAAATATCATTTCCCTACCTAACTGTAAAACTATGATGTGTATTTACGTATATTTATAAATTACAAATATATATATATATATATTATTTTATCTAAATACACATATATTATTATTTATATATGTGTATGTTAATTACATTTGTGTTATCTTTAATTTACAGGATCATGCAATCAGTCGTTAGGTATGGAATCCGGTGATATTCCAGATTCTTCCATCACTGCATCATCGTCGTACGTAACTAATGTTGGTCCGCGTAATGGAAGGTAAAACAAAATCTTTTAATATTCATTTTTATCTTTTATTGAAAAATTCAAATTTCTGATTTAGAAAAAAAAAGAAAATAATGTTTCAATAAATGAAATAAAATGAATATCAATCGTTTACAATCATCATTCGATTCTTATTGATGCCTAGCACAAAATAAACATTTTAGAAACAAAATTTATATATAATATATAACAATGTTACAACTATAAAAAATACAACTTTATCTTTTTGGCACAAACATAAACATATTTTTAAATACGAACTATAATATTCGAATACTTTCCCGTGTTATGAGAAATTAAAATAAAATTAAAATGTAACCAGATATAATATGTATATGTTACTTCAAAATGGCATTACGTTATGAAGATTTAAATGAAATACTAGAACGTTCTACTACGAATTTAATGAAATTCACAATTTCATTTTCTCGGAATAAAAAAGGAAGTTAAAAAAAAAAAAGAAAAGAAAAGAAAGAAAATCATTTTACAAAATGACATTAATATTTATGAAAGGAAATTGAATAAACTACCTTTTCCCCCTATCTACAAGATATCGTAACGCTTTCTCTCTCTCTCTCTCTCTCTCTCTCTCTCTCTTTTTAATTTTCTTTTTTTTTTGTTTTCCTCGTGCATCCGCACAATCTATTTATGATTCAACGATACCATTCGGTTTTTTCTTTCGTCAAAATACACTTTTTACATTTAATCGTTTTTAATCGTCATCTACACGTCGACGAAAATAATTGACGTTGTGCTTGACAAGTTGAATATTTTTGTGAAATGCGAAAGTAAAAAAGAATAAAAACGGAAAGAGAAAGGAAATAAGAAAAATATAGAGAGGACAAAAAAAGAAAAAAAAAAGAAAAAAAAAGAAAAAATTAGAAGGCTTACAGTATATCGTTCGATTTCGATATTCGAGTCGGTGTATTCTGTTTTTCGTCGTTTCAACGTCGAACGCGTGAAATTGAATTTTATATAAACCTATATATAAATATATATGTATATTGGTTTATATGTATTGGTATATCCCATATAAGTGTGTATATGTATATTATATACACATATATATCGGTGGCTTTTGAGGAAACACGATGGGACACGATATTATTTTCCACTTTGTAAAACGTAATAGCGTTGAAAAATATGGTTAAAGGAAAATAAAAACTTCAACGATGAAATATCTTTTCATGCACAGCGAATACTCTTTACCGATAATACTAATATTCTCTTTCTCTCTTTCTAATTTTTCACGTTTCACCCTTTCTTTTCTTTTTGTATATATATATACATGTAATTTTTTCTTGTCTTATCTTTTATTTGCAACAACAGGCGCATTTCCTTCACGCGAAGGTATGCCACATTATCGATTGGTCACGTATTTTCGTAACATTGTATAACTAGCCAAAACAAAATATTATCTAATCATTTATAAAAACTACATTGAACAATCTAAAATATTTTTACATAAGTTTCTGTTAAAATCATTCTCAAATGAAAACACTATTGACAAAAGATTAAAATTATTCGCATTATTATATACGTTGTCGAGAGAATATCAAAATCTAATTTTATAAATAATAATTCGATCTCTTTCTCTCTCGGTTGTATGTGGGTGTGTCAGACGGACGACAAAATAAAAATGAAAAAAAAAAAAGATAACAAACGCAAATGGAGTTGAAGATAAAAATATAACAAAAAAAAAGAAAAATAACACGAGTGAAGAATTCATAAAAATGCAGTTGCACGAACGATAATGAAAAATGATTCGTTTAAAAATAACGTAAAAGAGAGATAGATAGACAGAAAGAGAAAGAAAGAGTAAAAATGAAATAAAGCATCAGTTGCAAAATAAAATCATTTCAAAGTGTACCCCACGCCCCCCCCCCTTCCCCCTCCGCCTCCGTCCCGTTCAGAGTATAACACCGAGTATTTTCCGACATTAAATCAATATCACGTTGCTTTTCGTGTTATATACAAACACACACGCGTGCACACGACAACAACAACAACAACAGACTGCGAAAGGAAACGGCGGGTGGTGCATGGTGTCCGAGGAGTCAGATTGAAAGAGGAATTCGTGAGTGGTTGCAAGTGGATCTTCCGGGAGGTCACGTGATCACTGGGGTGCAAACGCAAGGTCGTTTCGATCATGGTCGTGGCCAGGAATACGTCGAGGAGTATACTCTTGAGTATCGACGACCGACATTTACCGAGTGGCGTCGATATAAACGTTCAAATAACCAAGAGGTATACTTAACATTTATTTTACTCTCCCCCACTCCACCCCACCCCACCCCACCGTCAACCCTTTTCCTTTCTTTCTTTCCTTCTTTCTTTCTTTCCTTCTTTCTTTCTTTCTCTCGTTTTATTCTTTTTTTATTATTATTTATCTTCAACTTATCTATCATTTCCCCCCTCTTATTTCTTTCGTTTTTTTGTTTAATCGATTTAACCAACTCGCCACGTGACTGTTATTCATATATCGGACGATCTCGTATAATTATTTTTGCACAGACATTTTTATCATTAAAAGAAATACGACTCGACGACGATTGGGAATTCAATTTGGAAATCGATTGAAGTGGTCTGACTGACACGCAAATTTTAACTTTTATTAATTATTTAATCATTTGTGTATGTGTATGTGTGTGTCTAACGATTATGATATATAAATATACTTTCAAATATAATTATAATAATATCAATTATAATGAAATATTTGCAAATTTGAAATTATTCTTTTTATTTAAGACTTTTTCTCAAAATGTAGAATACTATTCGAAAAGGTCGAGTCTTTGGAGTCAACGACACACGGTTTTTATCTTTCGTTTTTTCGGACAAGTCACCCATCCGTGTTATTTATCGTAACCACGTTGCTTGAATTTAATGATCTAAAGTGAACTTGTAATCCGACGTGGTTAAATCGATTGACTAAATTATTCAAATATAAATATATATATATACACGTTATATGTGTAATAAATATTGTAACATTGTTTAATAGATATGTTAGGGTTATATATTTTTATTTTAGGTTTTCCCTGGCAACAGCGACACGTCTACGGTGATCTCACATAATCTCGTACCGCCAATTTTTGCTAGTCAAATTCGGATCTTGCCACATTCGGTTCACAGACGTACGGTTTGTCTTCGTATCGAGTTGAGAGGTTGTCAAGATACCAGTAAGTATATATTCTAAAATAATATTATTTTTAAATGCATGACATAATAATTATCATTAATATTCACCGATATCTAAAAATGATGAAGAAACCCAAACTACTTCGACTTGTAATTCGAAACTCGTGGCCCGATTAGCATGACAAACTTGAATTTTTATTTTGGTATTCTGCATATTAGATTACAAATTTAATATCACCTACATTGGGTCTTGCATTTAAGTTTATAAATAAAATCAAGTTAATCTCAAAAGTTTTTAAATAAATGTCAAGTATTTATAATAGAATCAAGGTTGTTGCACATCGTGTTTTTAAATATCGATTCATCGTTTATTTCAAAATATTAATTTAAAAAGAAAAACAAAAAAAAACAAAGAAATATAATAGATCAAACAAAAAGAAAAACTCTTGGGGGAAAAATTGTTGGCAAAGAAAAATCCCGTGATATTAATACGCTCTCGTGTTTACAAAAAAAAAAAAAAAAAAAAAAAAAATAGAAATATATTCGTAGAAGGTAATTTCTAAGCTTTCCACGCACGCGAGCCGATCATTTTCCAAAAGGTAAGAAAACGTTGGAAATAAGTGACGAAGCAAGGAAAATAGTGGAAAATAGTGGAAAAGAAGTAAACGAAAAGTCGTGTTGATTCTACGAGAAAACAGCATCCACCTATTTCCGTAGATATCTATTCTAGCACGAACAAGATAAAACGAGAGAGAGAGAGAGAGAGAGATAGATAAAAAGTAAAAGAGAAATAGGAAAAAAAAAGAAAAAAGAAAAAGAGGTAGAAGAAAGTTTAGAGAAGAGAAGAAGGAAGAGGTGTTACGACGGGAGGGTTGGGGAAAGGGGGCAGGGGAGCGGTCGATTAATTTCCAAATTGCAACTCGATTCAATTTGGGAAAAGAGCGGCCGTTGAGAACCGGGAACGAGAGTACTAGCTAGAGATCCTACTGTTGTTGATACTGGTGTTAGTGTTGTTCGCGTTGGTGATGTTGGGTTGCAGCATTTGCTGGGGGTGCTGGTTACTGGTACTGGTGTTGGTTACTGGTACTGGTGCTGATGCTGGTTCCAGCTAGGGTGCCAATTCGCAAACTCCTCAGTCTACAGTACTGGATTCCATTAGCGTCGGTAACGGCGTTATACGAACTAGCTCGTTGGTTCGACTCATCGTACATTTGTTTTCGACCTAGTTCCTCCTACCCCCTAGTTCATACTCTTCCCTTTCATACTAACCCTATTCTCTAGTATACACCATACACTACATACATACATACATGTATCTGCTTAATGGAATCGATGGGGAAGAGAGAGGACATTGTGTTTCATCGTCCGACATAACGAATACATAACACCAAACGCCGCCGCGAGCATTATAATAATTTCTTCGATATTACGGGCACCCTAGGCACCCACGGCGTAGTACATCCTATCGTATATACTAGTACTACTACTATTACTACTATTACTATATATCCTTTCTCATGCCAGCCATTTTGTTCTTGTCGTCGTATCGTATACGATACCACCAAGACAACACAACACACACTTCCTTAACAATATTTTCTAGCCCTTTCTAACTCACCCTCTAGAATAAATTAAATGAAAGATCGAGCACGGAAGCAAAACCATGGATTATACCTTCTTCCCCTTTGGTATACTTTTTATATTTCTCTTATTAATTTTTTATTCTATATAATCTCCCCATTTATGCGTTTAAATTAATCATTTAATATAATATAATCGATAAAGAGAAATGTGTATTATATTTTATATAATAATTTATGATTAATATTGATATATGTTTTTTCTTAAGATTAATTTTAAACGAGATATCACATTGTTCAAATCATTATTTCACGATATGAGAAATAATCTAGAATAATTCATTTTTATTCGATATAAGTAATTATTCATTTCTTGTTGGTAAAAGCGTTCTAGTTGCAAACACCCTTTTATCAGTTTTATTTTTATCCCAAGTACCTACTCCTCGCTAGGGTTGGTTCACTTCCGCGATCTATTTCTGAATATTTCTTTTTTCTCGTCCTTTTTTTCACACTCTCTCTCACACACACACACAGATAAACTCTCCTTCTCTCTTTTCTGAGTTAACGAAAGGTCGCAGCACCTTGTGCTAGTTAATTTATGTATGGGTGCGTGACCCGCGTATAACAAACGCTGCAGTACATCACCGTAATGATATTTACATACATTTGCATGTACCTTTTATCCGCTCAGTTTAGCCACATTAAAAGAGAGAAAGAGAGAGAGAGAGAGAGAGAGAGTCTTGAACACGGAACAAGGTTTTCTACAAATTATACTAATCCGCAGACGGAGAATGAGAACTCTCAATTCCTCCCACACCCACCCCCACCCCCAGCCCGTTTCATCTCTGGAGTTTGAAGGAAAATCGAGCCAAGGACTTCTTGGATATTCTTTGGCTCGGTTTATTGAAAAAAATACTTTGAAGTATCTTGAGAGTCAAAATATACGAGCGTAAAAGGAAAGAAACAAAAGGATTCATGAATGCAACCTGAACGTATTTATAAATACTTTTCTTTACACGTATGTACCTATGTGTATATGTTAAGTGAATAAAAAACATAAAAAAAGTAAAACCTACAACGAATAAAAAGAGAGAGAGAGAGAGAGAATGAAAAAAATGTTGGTATAAGTAATTGAAGAAAAATAATATATGTATATACATTTTTTTTTTGAGTAGAATGAAAAATGTAAAAAGGTAGCTAAACCTTGTTGAAGCAAATTTGCGTAAATGATTTTCTTAAACCGTTAATAATGAGAAGGTAAAAGAAAAGGGAGAAAGGAAAATTATGAAAAGTGTTGAGGGTTTTAAAGAATAAAAAAAAAAAAAAGAAAGAGAGAGAGAGAGAACTTGAAGTAGGGAAATTTCAGGCCGACACCGACATAAGAAATACTTGAAGGAGAAAAAGAAAGAGAACGAATGAATGAGTGAGTGAGTAAGTGAGTAAGTGAGAAAGAGAAAGAGAGAGAGAATGAGGAGAGCGTGCGAGATCGAGCTTGGTCTACGGAATGGCAGATTTATGGAGGTCGTGCACGGCATCTGGTTAAAACAACGTTGATGCCGTACCCCAACGTTGAACACCAGCGATTACTTCCGACTAGCCGAATCTGGAATCTCGCAGAACGAGCACCACTAGCACAGTATTGCCAGCACTAATACAGTAACAGCAACACAACAACAACAACAGCAACACAAGAGCAATGCATGCACCATGAGACAACAGTAACAGTAACAGTAGCAACAGCAACGGGTACCTCAGCAGCAATTGGGGTAGCACCTAACGCTCGCCACGGTCACCACTAAAATCCAAACCCAAACCCAAACCCAAACCCATTGTTCTCCGGCATTGACATTTTCGATCGTCCACGGTTTTCTCGGTCTTTCCCAGTTGACCATGTTCAAAACCTCATCCTTCGGTAATTACTAACGTCCAAATAATCTTTCTCAATGCAATTCGAATCTTTTCTTTTCTTTTTTTTTTTTATACATATTTATAATTCAATTTAAAATTTTATTTATTATCTTTTCTCCGTTATGTTATATTATTATAGTTTATTTCATTTTTATCGGGTTGACGCGTATTTCTTTTTTCTTTTTTTTCTGATTTTTTTTTTTTAAACACGCTAGAGTCACTTTTTATATTTCTTCTTCCTCTCGTGATATATCTAGTATATGCCACTTATTTTCTATCATCGAGATAGATCTGTAGAAAAATATATTTACATGTGTGTGCGTGTATGTATGTGTATGTGTGTACAGTTAGAAAAGACCAAAGCGTTTTGAATGAAAGCTTTCGCACTATCGGTACGAGGTCATTGCACTTTCAGACACGACGCGACACCGATTGCGATCGGCAATGAATGAAGCACGAATCTAAATGGAAAACTTGATACCACCCCGATGTATGAGGATGGTGTCACGTGATAGCTATGAACATTTTCACTAATGGCGCGAATTTTGTTCGACGTCTGGTACATATCCGAAAGACTTCTGACATTTGCACTTTTAAAAAAAACAAAAACACATCTCTCGAACAATAAATTAACATCTCCACCGTAGATCCAAATTATTAACAATTTGTTATACAAGTTTCGTATATAGATATATATAACTCGTTTAAATAAAATAATTTCTCTATATATAGAACAAAATATGACCCAGTTCGCGTAATTAATAGTTAGTTTCGAAACTGTAACAATAAAAGACGCGTTCTATTTATATTTTCATTCCTATGAAATAATAAATAATCATCATATCGTCTATACGAAGAAAATACAATAGAATAGTAACATTAGGTCACACGTCAAAGAAATAATTTGATAGGAAAATTGATCCCGTCTCCCGAATTAAATTTGTTTTCGAGTTCAAATGTCAATGATAGATATTATCCAGGTAACGTTCAGATACTCAAGAGATCTCGACTTCGAAGCCCGGCAATAATTTAGATGACGGACGAATGGAAGATTGCCACTTTAATTCAATTACCAAATAACCGGATTAACGTGATAGAGTAGAATTACCGGTAAGAGCGCCGTTATTATCGTACGCGATGATTCGTGGTCCGATTTTGGATAATGCATTTCCCGTTTTGCCATTCCTAATAACAACGAATCATTTTCATTTACTGATAACAACAACATTATAAATCTATCAACGTGAATGAAAGAAATCTAAAAAAAAAACAGAGCAATAATAATACGTGCAATTAAATTTCTTGGATAAATCAAACGAACGATTTCTTCTTAACTTTAAACTATTTTTTTTTTTTTTCATTTTAATTTTGAGTATATTTCGAAATAACATTTATCGAACATCGAATTAACATTAAAGCCCCCCCTTTCCCCTAAATGAAATTGTTATTATCTTAAGATTGATCATCGTGTTCCGGAGGGTTTTGACGGGTAATCCGAAAAATTGATTATTTTACCTTGTTCGTGGAATGAAAATAAAAACAAAGGGATTGGAAAATGGGGATGGGAGGGGGGGGGGGCTGGCACCGGGGAAAAAAGAAGATTGAGAAGAAAAAACACCGTCACGTACAAGATTCATCGACGCTAATTGCTGATTATTAAATCAAAATGAACAGTGCGTGCTTTGTGACTTCGCATCAGCATGTTGCTCATGGAAATGTTAAAAAATTATTATACGTGGTCACTTATAATTTGACCGTAACATGCTTGACCAGCGCATCGCGTGACAACGTAACTCGCGAGAGTAAAAGAAAAAAACAGAGAGAGAGAGGGGAAGAAGGGAGACGGGAAAGGGGGGGTAGTAAAACAGCCGACATTTTGCGTGTATAACCGTGAAATATTAGAAGCAATTAAATGGCTTCTAGCGCGAAATGGCAAATCGAGTGGGGGCGCGTACGCCATCTTGTTGTTCATTTTTATCCGACCATATTCAATTGTATCTTATCCATCATCCATTAACCAGCACTTTTTTTAATTTTAGACATTAGTTATAAAAAAAAAAAAACAATCCTCTCGCGGGACGCGTAATTAAAATAAAACTATATATGGTCGAGTCATACGCGTCTAATCTTATATTGTTAAGTCAAATGCTCTTATTATGAAGAGAAAAAAAAAAAGAAGAATGAAAAATACGAGAAAGGATTGTATTTTTATTTTATAATACACATAAAAAGATTCATCGTTAAAAATATGATTGTTTATCACGAGTATATATATACGTCAATTTTATCGCTGAAATAAAATGATAACAATATAATTAATATATATATATATGAAATAAAAAAATTATTGCAATATAATTGATACGCAATTTTTAAATTGATATTAATGTATAATAATACGACATTTTATAAGAAAATATACTCCTTATTTTTAATTGACGTTTCTATATATATATTATAGATATATAAAATATATTTTTAAGGTGGCATCGTGAGTTACACAATACCGGAATCACCTATGGAGGAACTCAGTGACACTTCGTACGATGGTAAAAGGCAGTACAACTCGTTGCTGACCGATGGTTTGGGCCGACTGATAGATGGCGAGGTCGGCGCAGATAATTACAGGCTGGACATGGGAGATGGAAGAGGTAATCGGTGGGTGGATATACGCCCAGGGTGTCGAACGTTCAAATCGAAAGATTTAACAAAATCTTTCTACTTTGTCGGATCTCTCGTAATCTTCTCTTTAAAGAGAAAAAACAACCCTCTCAAAAAAATAAACAATTTTTCCTTGTACATTAAATTTGTGAAAATAGATCGACGCGTAAAAAGATTTCTACCCTTAAACTCGATATCAACGAGACTATAACGTTTTCATCATTTATTTATTTATTTATTTATTTATCGATTATAAATTCGTTCAATCGATATATATATATATATATTATTACTACACTTGACTCCAATTAACTTCTTTTAATTGTTGATAAATCGTTTAATCGATCCATACAAAATTTAAGAAGACTGGCACAGACTGATATTAACTCCATCATTTTTCAAACGTATATCGATACTTGACACTTTGCACTCTTAACTGATAAACTCGTATTGCCAATGAAGAATCGTACCGAAATATCTACGCTAGTGTCTCTCCATTTACTGTCGATCGTTCAATAAAACTTCTTTATTATTATTATCGAATCGCAAACTATCTTAACAAATTAACCGACTTCAATGATCAAAATCAATCGATGATATATTTAATAGATATAATTATTGATAAATTGGAATTGTTTATTATTTAATATCGATTGAAATATTTGTCGTTACAGGAACCGGTTGGGTTGCTTGGATGCGTGATACCTTTCCTAACGATTTCGTAGAAATTATTTTAGAATTTGAAAATTATTGGATATTCGAAGCTGTATACATTTACACGAACAATTACTTTTCTCGAGATGTTCAGGTAAAAACAATCAATTTTATCCTATTCGAATGGATAGATTCACGTTTTATATTTGTACAATCATTTGTTATGATTTTCATGATCGCGTTCCAGGTATTTTCAAAAGCCGATATTTGGTTCAGTCAAGATGGCGAATATTACGAAAACGAACCTATCGCTTATTCTTACATACCAGACATTGTATTGGAAAATGCACGAAATGTGACGATAGGACTTCGCGGTAGGCAAGGAAAATTTCTTAAATTTCATCTTTATTTCGCAGCACGTTGGATCATGATAGGCGAGATTATGTTCGATAAATGTAAGTTTTATATACGATAACCATTGTTAAATTTTAATAATGTTTCACATAAATTTTTCTGTAACACCGAAATTCGATCTTTTTTTTTTCTGATTATTTTCCTTTGAATAATTTCATATATAACACACAATATAACTGTCCTCTTAAAATAACAAAAATTAATATAACTCGCAGCAAATCCATACGAAAACTTAACGGAGGATACTACATTGGTATTGGAAGATGGTGAAATCCCGGTCAGTCCAAATGCAGATCTCAATCTCAATTTGCAAACAGGTACGTAAAAAAGTGTAATCGCGTCGTTTTCGTTATTACTACTCTCTCTCTCTCTCTCTCTCTCTCTCTCTCTCTCTCTTATTTGACTTCTTTTAACTTTTTTTCTTTTACCATGATGGAAAACCTTTGAAAATAGTTCTCGAACCAACGCCAATTTCTCTTTTACTTTTCTTCTTCCAATTTCGTAATCGTGCACCTACCCCACCCAACCCTTCTCGAGAAAGCGAAGGAAGAAGAAGGTAACTTAACTCAACTCGAGCCAATCTTTCTCCTAGTTCGTTCGCCATAGGGCCGACTAGTCTTAAAACAAACGAGGAATAAGTTGGCTGGGTAAGTTTGTCGGCTGGGTGCGTCAAAACCGCAAACTAGTACCACCAAACTAAACCACCATCATCATTATCATCATCACATAGCACTATCACTAAGACTAGCAGCAGCACCACCACAACCATCACCACCACCAATGCAACCAACGACTACTTATATCCCACAAAGTTCCTCTTATAAAGAAAAGTAAGGGTTGGTTTGTCCAATGAACTAACTTCATTAACGAAACGAGGCTGCTATTCTTCAGTAAGAAAGAGATACGATTTAACTGGTGTGTCACCGTCGAAATCCAACGGGAAAGAAATATATATATATATAGTGATAAAGAAAAACGGGATGCGAAAGGGAAAGGGGTAGGTGTGCTTTTATAATTCAAGCTAGTAACTTCCGCGTAACGTAAACAATTAGTCGGATTAAGTGGTAGTCGTTACGTGAGAATGGAAAGCTTGCTGTTGGCTGTGGATATACGAACGAAATGGTGGCTGGGTGGAAAAGGAAGACTTTCAAAAAGCCCAGATAGAAAGTAAAAGATAGGGAAAGAGAGAGAGAGAGAGAAAAAATCTAGCAAAAACAATATTAGATAAAGCAAGGTAATGGTAAAAGGAAGAAAAAAGTTTTGTTTCAATTCAAACAGAATTATACACGATTTGCGATGAAACAATGATCTAAAAGTATTATTTTTCTTCTTTTTCTCTTTTTCCTTTTTTTTTTTTGGTTTTTTATCTTTACTTTTTTTTTTCTCTTTCCTCTTTCCTTTCGTAACTCTTTGTAAATGTAGATTCATTTTTTGTTTGTCTTCATTCGGAAAAAGTTGAAAATGAACCTGACTAAAACGATAACTGACTTTCCAAAGCAATTTTATATATACAAGGGAAAAGATATAAGCAAATATAATATCTGTAACGTGTAACTGTGGTTACCACTGTACTACTACTGTTGTATATTGTACAGTACTGTGTGTATTTTGGCGAACATAATTTTAACTTCAAAGTACCACTACGGTGATATAAACTTCAAAGATATACTTAGTCAAATCTTTTTCAAAAATAAGACACAACCAACCGGTTAACAATTTTTACAAAGAGGGAATTACATTTTTTTGTCCAGTTAATACCTAAAATACACGGAAACTTTGTTAGATTATTTGATTTACTTTTTATTTAAATACATATATATATATATATTATAATATTCGAGTAGATTATCTCTACCGAACTTTTAAACTTTTATTCCAAGCGTTAATTATAAATAAAGAAGGTCGCTAAGTCTGTACGGACCTTTAAATTTCTAGATCTGACGTCTAGGAGAGAGAACAAACGCTTTTGAAAAGTTTTCTTTAAAATGAAGTTTACAGGGACGGTGGGAGGAAGGGAGGAGGGGAGGCGGGAGGGGGAGAGATTTTACGTTGGAAAATGCAAAATAAGTTAACGACGTGTACGAGAAGCAAAGAAAGGTATTTGTGTCGAAAATAAATTTTACATTAACGTCCATTCGGGATAAATTAAACGGCCAGCTTTAAATTCAGTATTCGCATTAAGTAATTACATAAATATCGGTTATATTACTTTTGATACAGTATATTATAACGGTATTATTACAAAGCTTTGTTTCAAAGTGTTCTGATAATTCCGTAACTTCAATAACATGAATATTCATTTACATAATGATATCAATTCGATTGAATAAACAAATTAATATTCGTGCGCGAAAAGAATAAGGAAAAATGATACGTAAATAATATCATTTGGACGATTTGAATCGATCCCACTGTTTTAAAAAAAAGAAAAACAAATAATTATGTCCACCGTTAAATCGTATCGATATATTCGCATAATCAATTTATTGTCAACGCAAAATATCCAACGAAGTGTCCGATGATAAATACTTGAAATATTTCTTTACGATATAGATCGATTTTTATTTTACACAACTAATACACGCGTTTACTTTTGGTAATACAAATCGTCAATAAGATTTATGTAGGGTGGTATGCTAAGGTTATCTTTTGATAGTCTCCCTAGTTTTCTTTCCTTTTTCTTCTTATTCTTCTTATTCTTCTTCTTCTTCTTCTTTTACGGTCAATAAAGCAGCTTTTCGGTACGGAAAATACCCTATTAGTGTTTAGGCTATTAGCTCGAAAGAATCGTATCTTCCCGATGGGATTTTAATCGAACCATTTGTTACATTCCTCTCCCACTCGTCCCTTTTTATTCCTTAAGAATCGTGACCATTCGTGGAAACACGTAGAAAACGGGAAGACTAAGGAAAACAAAAAAAAAGAAAAACTAGACCTAGATCTTCATCGATGTTCTTTATCTTCTATACTATAGTAGCGCTAGTACAATTACTATTCTTTACTAAAAGGTTAATAAATATTAAACGATTAAAGGATTAAACTTAATTACAAAACCTATTACGATAAGCAATGTCGTAATTTATAATAAAAATAATTCTAACTTTAAGTAATTTAAAAAAGATATATAAATATATATAATTTTTGTGCAAAGTGGATATTTTTATTTTTTAAAATACCCGCGGCTCGAAAAGATATACCATGCATATATAAAAAGTAGTATTTGTAATAGACTGTAATTTTGAAAGGTATCGGTGTTTTTCGAGTATATAAAAAAAAAGAAACAAACAATAAAAAAGAAATTTTTTTAGGTCATTTTTTTTATTGCCATGTATAGTCAATTAAAAACAGATCATCAACTTTGGTTTAAAGTAATTTTTTGTCAGATTATCGTAAGTACTTGAAAAATTGTGACTAGAGTTATTTGGGACACTCTGTATATTCTAATCGTACATTAAAACGTATGAAATATTAAAAATGGTAATTAATTGATCATAGTACTCTGTAGATATAAAATATAAATTGTTAATTAAAAAAAATGAAAAAGAAAATGAGAGAAAAAATATACAATAATGTTATTCAAGTATCATAGGATACTAAAAATATCTCACTTGCACATCGTTGAAAAATTGAATGAATTTTTTCCTTCGATTGCTTATGTTCCGCCACGAGAAAGAATAATGATCGTATTTTTTCTCGTAAAAAAAACAAAATTCATAACGCGATTAAATTTATAACAAATAATACGTATATATTTAATCTCGTAATATTATTATATTATTTATATTTTACGTATATTTATTTTACAGTAACAGCCCCAAGCGAAGGACAAGATTATTTAGAAGTATTGATTGGCGTATTAACAGCTATTATACTTCTCTTAGTTATGGTATTCCTAGTGATTTTATTATTAAATCGACGACAAAAGCTTCAAAGTTCACCAACCGTACTTAAAAATCCGTTTGGATTTACGATTAATATGAAGGTACCTATTTATTCATCAATTTTCCTTTTGAAGTATATTAATCACACGAGAAACGTATAAATTAACAAGAACATTATTTCTAATCACGAAACCATATATATCTCATATTCATGAACGGGAAATAATAGTTTCGAAACTATTTAGGGACTACTTTTAAATTTAACACCTGGCGGCATGTTAAATGATGGAGGTAATCATGCATCGGTTGACGCACCAGAAGACGTCAGTGTTCACGAGTCATTAACAATGGAACAATTCGATTCACCGTTGGTTAGTCCGCATTATAAATCCACTTATGCTATCGTAGCTAATTCTGGTAAGTAATGTTAATAATAATTATTTTCATTCATATTTTTATCTTAATAATTATATCATTGATATTAATTACATTTCTTATATAAATTCATCGCAATATATATTATATGTAAAACAAAAACAAAAAAATAAGAAATAAATGTATGATGTTCTATTTTTGAATTCGTAGAACCATCGAAAGATTCGGACAATTCAACGATTTCGGAAGAAAACGTACGATTGAACAATCGAACGGATTCGATATTGGAACCACCGCCGAGTCGTTCATCTTCTCCAACCGAATCAACTTCCCGTCACGTACAACATTACAGAACACTGCAAAATTACAGCAGTTCTAATAGTAACAAATTTAACATAATAACAACGACGACAACGACGACAGCAACAGCAACAACAATTGCAACAACAACAACGGCAACAGCAACACCGACAACAATTGCAACAACGACAGGAACAGCGACAACAACAAATTATCGTCGGGATATTGATCGAACTCATTCGAAACGTTGGCATACAACACCTAAAGAAAAATCTGTTGGGTTGCAGCATAACAATGCTACGTCAATTAACAAGGTAATTTATCACTATACTTATGTATAAAATCATTATATTATATCTGAAGGCGTTCGACGTAAAACAAAGAAAACCGTTAAACGTTTATTCTCTCTCTCTCTCTCTCTCTCTCTTTCCCTCTCCCTCTCTCTCTGTCTGTCTTTTTCTCTCAACTATACCATTATGTTCGATTTTATTTTTCCCTTACGGCGTTGGTGGCGAACTATGGCGCGACGAACATGACGGGGCATAAATTACTTTTCCAGATACCCGCACCCGTCGTCACTTGGAACATAGCTCCTAGCATGAACAAGCCATACAAATGCAAGGAAATCGAACCCACCGGTATAAACCGACTTTGCTTAAGAACCACGGAGAAACTTGGCTCGAGCATTATCGGAGAAGTATTTATTTATTTTCATTTCAATTATAAATTATAATAATATTCCCTCCCCCCTCCCCCCTCCCCACATATATATATATATTGTAGATTTTTATTGAATTATTACAAAATTCTCTAAGTAAAAAACAAATCGTTAATATAATCAAAGTAGTAATAATAATATCTATACAATGACAGAAAACTTCAATTAACTTTTATATTCCATAAAACTCGTATCTACAAACAATTTTATTTAAAGAGAAAAAAGGAAAGGAAAACAAATGAAAAATGGTAAAGTAGACATAAATAAAAAAAGAAATGTATGAAATGTTGGAACCTTTAGGCTATCGTTTGCGAGACCGTAGACCTGGACGATGTTATAACAAGTGCCCCAAGATTGGTCGTGGCCCGTGTACCAAGTTGTATCAACGACATTCGAAGTGGGCACATCAGCATCAGCAGCAGCAGCAACAGCAGCAACAGCAACAACAACAACAACGCTGGAGGGATCGGCATGTCCTGTACGAACGATCAAATGAGAGAAGTGAGCTTTCTATCTGGATTGTCCGATCCAAATGTGGCAAGGATCTTGGGTGTCTGTGCAGCCGAGCCAGCACCGTGGACAATCATCGAGTACACCGAACTCGGTGATCTTGCCCATTATCTTCAGTACAGCGTACCGCTTACAGGAACTTTAAGACCGACCTGCAATCTAAAGACCCTCAGGTACGATATAAATAAAGTAAATGGTATACCATGTGCTTTTGTGTGTTGGTACGCCCCTACCTTTTGGTTAACCCTCGGGGAATCTTTCGTGCAACGTCCTCAGAAAAGAGAAAGAAAGAAAGAAAGAAAGAAAAAAAAGAAAGAAAAATATATAATAATAAATGACTTTCTTCTTTCCGTAGTCAAAACTGTCTACTATACATGGGTACGCAAATAGCTTCGGGTATGAGATACCTCGAATCAAAGAATCTGGTACACAAGGATCTCGCTGCCAGAAATTGCTTGGTTGGCCGATCCTACGCCGTGAAAGTTACCGATATCGCAATGTGCAGCGATCTTTACAAGAAGGATTACAGCGACATTGGTGCTGGTAGACCACCAGCACCGATCAGATGGTTACCATGGGAAAGTATACTCTTGGTAAGGAAATATATTTATATATATCTTTTATTTTTTGGTTTCCTTCATTTCTCAAAACTCTCCCCCGTTATTATATCGAAATGAACGTAATCGAATATACATCGCTTGTTATTTTAGGACAGGTATACCTGTGCCAGTAGTACCTGGTCATTCGCAGTCACGCTTTGGGAAGTTATGAGTTTGGCTAGAGAAAAACCATTCCAACATCTTACCAATGAACAAGTTATTAGAAACGCCGAACATATGTATTATGGGGAAGAATCACAAGTATTATTATTATTTGATTTTTTATTTTCAATATATATAAATATAAAACACTATATCAGATATATATTCCTAATTTTTTTGTTGTTTTTAAATAAACTAATTTGATTTTTTGTAGGTATTTCTACCAAAACCAACGATGTGTCCGGATGACGTTTACAAAATGATGTGTTCATGTTGGAGAAGAGACGAAGAAGCTAGACCATCTTTCAAAGATATTTATTCGTTCCTAAAGAACACAATTTCGGATTATCGACCAGGCACATAACATCGATAAACAATGAACGAATTGTTCCGAGTATATATCGAATGACAACGTTATCGGATGATGGGGTGCTATGAGTAATCTGAAACGATATTCGCCATACCTTTCATTTGAGCTTCGGCACTTATTGTTAGGTGATAAATCTTTAGGAAATACTTTGAAAAATAAAATACACGACCGGCACAAAACATTTTGCTCCCCCGTTTTTTAATGTTCGAGAGTCTGAAAGGAACTTTTCATCGACGAAAACACACACGCAAAAGAAAATAAAAGAAAAAAAAGAAAAAAGAAAATTAAGAAATGCGTATTTGCGTTAGAATGTAATAGATCTAAACGCATTAACCTTAACCTATCTCGCTCTAGATCCGTCAAATGAACTTCCGTAAACGCTAACTAACGGTTTATTTGCTGCTGATTGGATTGCGAACAATTAGCTACACGTTTCGCGTTAATACGATAAACGTGTCAAATGAGAGAGACTGCCAGTGTGTATATGTGTGTGTGTGTGGGTACATGTGTCTGTGTGTGCGAATGTATGGCTGTGCGTATATGCGTAATATGTGTGTAAATTCGATAAACAAACAAAAAATATCAAGTAAATTTATGTATTTTTCCTACGTGGGGGAGACAATTGTTAGGATCATTATTTTTCTTTGAAAATCTTTTCATCTTAGCCTGATAATTAAAAATGTCATTATCTTTTTTTCAAATATGACTTATAAAAAGAACGAGGAAGGAAAACAAATGCGATAAATCCTTCCTTGAAATTATTTGTTTTATTGTTGTCTTCTTCTTCTTATTGGCAATCAAAATTTTTATCAGTATGCTTTTAAATTCGTTGAAAATATTTCAATATTTGATTAATTAATAAATTAATCCACCACCTTTTTTCGGATTTCTTCGAATTTATTTGTTTTTTTTTATTTACGATCTAAATGTAAACGTTGGTTACAATTAAAATCCTAACGACCGATCAAATTTCAAACAATCGTAAAACGTTCCCCAGCCACCTTGGAATTATTTCCTTTCTACCACGAGCATAAATTTCATTGTGTACAGTATTGTGAAATCGGTAATGTGTAATGAGCACGTTATCACGATTATACGATAAGTCTATAACACTGTACATATTAAGAACAAAACTAAGGAAAAGAAAAATGAAAAATTTAAAAATGAAAAGAAAAGAAAAGAAAAAAGAAAAAAAAGAAGAAACAAAAAAAATAATAATCTAGAACAATATGAGCGAATTAAACTAATCGAAATCGTGAAGATTTTTACGGTGCTACTACGCTTGTTAGAGAATCGGATGATCGATTATCTTTGGGTTTTTATTTAAATAATAATTATTATAATAATAATAATAATAATAATAATAATAATAATAATGAGAGCGAGAGAGAGGAAAGTGCGTACGTGATACGAAAATTAAATTCGTTTAATCATTTATTATCTAATCGATCGATCTCGAATATATTTAATAACACATTGTTCGAAACTAAAACAATTATTTTGTCGAGAAGTTTGTGTTTTTTCCTTTTTTGATCTTTTTTTTTAACACAGCAATACGTGTACTTATTATAATTTATGTTTTTAGTGTGTATTATTATTATTATTATTATATCATATATGTATTATGTATCTCCAGGAATAGAAGAAAAATTTGATGAACGTGTAAATCGAAAAATGAGGAATACGTTGATAAAAAAAAAAAAAAAAAAAGAAACACTATGCCTTTATGTGAATCCGCTATCCGAACGCTCTTTCTTCACTTCTTCTTCTAAATCTACTTCTAAATCTACTTCTACATTTTCATCTTCTTTCTCTTCTTCTTCTTATTATTCTTCTTCTTCTTCTTCTTCTACTTATTCTGTACAATTTTCTTCTATCATTTCATTTACACTTAAAAGAAAAA